TTTATAATATTTTATAATAATGAAAGCATATAACACCAGTATATCATATTGATTCGAAATGTTGTCACACAATTACATGTGTTTCCATGCATAGTTTGGCATATTAAAACATGAACTTAACCAAAGGACTTAGTAAATGCTAGGACATTATCTGGGGGAAGACATATTCATATTTTCACTGCAAGCTTTCAAGATTACACACTGAAAACTATTGCTACAGAAAGTAATCAGGAAGTTCATTATAGAATATATATAACAGCATATGCACCCACCCACATAAATAAGTTTATCTTATAACAAGAACAAAATAACACAGTATGGAGTAGTAGCAGAGAAATTGTTATTTTAGGATTGCAGACAATGCATTAGTACAAAGTGGTTATGATTCATGAATGAAAATCACATCTTATTGATTGACTTCAAAACAAACAAGGACTAGACAAAGTATATAATATCGTGTACACAAATGCTACAGTCCCCATAAATAGTGTTTAATAATTGGCAAAAAATACTGAAAGCAAATTAAAACATAATTCTGTATCTTGGAAAAATGTAATCTCAAACAAATACAATTTAGTATGTTGCACGTTACTGGAAGAAAAAAATAAATATTTGGAATTTGTGTACACAAGTTGAAGTCAGTGACATTAATTTGAACAGTAGCACAAATAGAGCTATTAGGTTATTAAACGACGCTTCCGTAGTATGTGCACTGAGATGGCGTAAAACCTGATAACCCTAACCTAGTACACATACTATGTTCAGGCTGTGTGCCATCTTAGTGCACTTGCTGGGACGGGATGCACACACGGGAGCACCTATTAAACATATAAAGGTATTCAATCTCAGCGATTGTGTGATCTCAGTGATTTTAGGTAGGGTTAGGAACTGAATTTTATGAGAATGTCTTCAAGACACGAAAATGGAAATCACAAAAGTAAGTGAGATTGCATACTAGTGGCAAGTCGAAATGATAAAATATTTGTGGAAGTAAAGTATCAGACCAGGAGAATGCACTCTTTCAAATGTTTGTGTAAATAAAATGATAACTATAGGGCTGACTATGTGCTATTAGGTGAAATCTATGAAAAAGTTGATCTGTCATAAAAATGTTTAGATTAGCTGGATGGATAACCTTGGATGCAACAATTGGAATACAGTTTGCATAAAAAACAGTAGCAATAAATAAACTATAAAACAAGATTAACAATGAGAGTGATTTTTATGATTGATCCAAGTTACATTAACAAAAATAGGAAAATTATTTTAATAGAAGCAATTATGGCAAATAAACAACTCTTACTAACATATGGATTAGCAAACATACACTAAAGTTTAATGTTTTATATGCCCTTTACAAATAACAAGTTTAGGTCTGATTTCTCATTTAACATTTGCCTTATAAGCTAAAATGCTGAATAAATATTAAATATTACTAGATTAGAATGGTTCCTTTATGAAATTTGAACATAATCATATTCCAAGAACTTGTGAAATACTACACGAAGCTATTGTGTTAGAAAGTATCTTCAATACATTTTTGTACCAGGGTAAAGTTACTATAACAAAATAGGAACCTCTATCAGCTGAACGATTATTATCTCTTTTTAATGAATTGTCCGAAACAATGATCCGCAATGATACCAAATCTGAACTGAAACGTAAGTTTCAGCACTTCAAATTCATAAACATTCTCAAGTTTCAGAATATTTGCAGATTGAACCAATACACAGTGGAGTATGTGAGCCGGTCATCAACTTCAAAACACAGTTTTGAAGTACAGAGATAGTTTTGGAGATAAAACTATATTAAGTCCCATGTCACAATTCATTTGTGGGCATGTAGTGGACCTATGGATCGTTTTGTTATTATGTTGTTGTTCTTTGACACATATTGAAAAACCGCTTTTCTTGTTGATTACTGGACGAATTGCTTTGAAATTTTCAATGGTTTAAGATTGATTTGCCTGAAGGCTATTACTTTCATATATTTCCAATATTTCTGAGAGCTGCATGAAATTCATTTCTTTTGTGCTATGACCTCATCAAAAATTGCCACCATGTGGCGGTTCATCGTGCGAGCGAGTCACGAGGTCAGCGAACATTGGTGCTTCTAGTGTTTAGCGAACCGTCAAAGGTAAGCTGGACTACTGCTTCGCTCAGGCTGCGTGTCCATATATTTGAGCATCGCTCTCTTGTTGAAAGTGCAAACTATAAAGTTCTTGATCCCCTTTCTGGCACAAATAGACTCACTTCAGTCATTGCAGCAATATCCCTAAAGACTAGATAACCTCAATCTTCATATCTGAAATTATATCAAAATACTTGACAGAGTTTCAAGTAGTCATTATAGACTTAATGTCATTTACGATAAAATTTTATAATGGAATTGGAAGTTCTGGCTTTTACTACAGTTAATTAACATGATATGTGTCTCGCTCGGATTAACGATAGGATCTATCTAGGTAGCCTACATATCTATCCCAGGAGAGAGATAATGGACCAGATGGTGGAGGAAGCTGTAACCGACCAGCGGTTATGTGAACCACCCAACTGCGACGAGGAGTCCAGTAATCCTCTCGCACATAACCATGGGGTGACGAGCGTATTCCTAACGATCTCCACATTTAAACCTGCGAACCTACACAGACTGACATAGTGTAAGTAATAAGAGGTGCGATGCCAAGCTTATTCCGCTTACAGGCTTAGCACGATGAGCCACACCACTGCTAATTTGAAGTTAGACAATTCAGCAATTAAATATACCGGTATCAAATAGTTAGAATGCATATTAACATTTTGCTTAGGTCTGCGGAGTTCACTCAAACAGTCAAATGTCTTTAGCAGTTTCACTTTTTAGTTTATCGCTTGCTCCACACAATGCTGCAATGTTACTGGTAGGCTACCAGTCCCAATTTGACATACGGTACCGTGTTCGTGCCTACATCTTGCCACACAATAATTCTACCGCGAAGGCATACCGGTAGTCCGATGATACGGTAGTCTACCGTTACCATAGTAATTAAAAGTCCAAGTCTGGTAACTCTGGCATATGCCTGTATGCAGATACATTCAGGCTACATCATGCTAAACTTAAGAACCTTAAAATGTTCGTACGGTACCGTACCGGTATACGGTACGGTAACACTGACACCATGCCCTTCACTTTCTCAAACGTCGCCATCCCTAATCTGCCAACACAATTCGACCGCATTTTGCCATCCCTAATCTGCCACCATTCGACCGCATTTTGCCATCCCTAATCTGCCACCACGCTTCGACCGCATTTTGCCATCCCTAATCTGCCACCATTCGACCGCATTTTGCCATCCCTAATCTGCCACGCTTCGACCGCATTTCGCCATCCCCAATATGACTTTTCGACCCTATTTTGCCATCCCTAATCTGCCACCTTTCGACCGTATTTTGCCATCCCTATTCTGCCATCCCCAATATGACTTTTATGCTACCACCACTATAGGCGGAATGCAGGAATTAGTGCCGTAGATACCGGTACGTACGGTAGGTACCATACCAGCATACCGTGTCTCCTGTGTTAGGTACGGTACGGTATGCCAGTAATGGTCAGATGGTATTGTCAGGACAGTCTGACAGTGGTGTGGGTCTGTCTGTCCGTGAGTGACATGTATAGTATACCTTAACTTATGTAGCCTATGTAAGTTCATTTGCCTCGCAATGCTACCGTATATGGTACCGGCAGTAGACTAGAAGATCAGAAGATAGACTGCCCGGTCCCAGAGAGAGAGATTTATTGATTCGTCAACCAAAACAAATATAAATATGAAAGCATAAATACAAATAAATAAACACTGTTTGAATAATATCCTGAATATCTGTATTATTACTTTACCGTACGGTACGGTATGTCAGTATGTCATATGGCAGTATGATAAGATGAGATAAGATAAGATTTTATTTCGATTCATTCGCAAAAACAAAATAAACATATATCTGTATATGCACAAAAGATTAAGACGAAGAATCTGGAAAGTGAACAAAACCTAATAAAATAAGTTTAAAACGTATTAAACGCGTTCACTTACCAAAGAAGAAAGAAAACGTCCACATTTATTCAATTCAGTGATTTCTGACTTGTACTACTGTACTAGCTAAATATAATGTACAAATGCTGAATTTGTGGCGGCCAATGCTGGTATGGGAATAAGAAATAATAACTTCTTTTTTCAGCTTTCAAAATTTCCTTTGTCGGCTTGTTTTATGTTCTTTTATTTTGTATTGTCTATCTGTTTTTTTGTATGAATTTTATATACTACCGCATCTAATTGACTTTATTTCTGTATTCATTAATAAGCAGGGATGTCCTGTGCCAAATAGAGTACCTGTATCAGGGTATTGTGTTCACACAAGACGGGCTTTTATTTCAAAACTTGGATTGTATTTTCACATCCCGTTTTTGTTTGGCATTATTTCAGTATTTAAAAAGTTAAGGCGTTTACTTGACGAGACCCCACAATCCCTCACTTACAGCATTTACTGATTACTTATCGATCTTAAGATCGGTAAGTATATTGATAGGTATTTGTATGTATGTCTGTCTGTGTGTGTGTGTGTGTGTGTCTGTTAGATGCACGCGATATCTCACGAAAGCGGGATTGAATCTGCTCCAGATTTTGCATGTGCATTCATCTTATCTCGGACCAGAATCCTATTGATTTTGGGCGAATTATGTCGTATAATTAGCGAGTTATCAATCAATTATTGATATAGTGATCTAGATTTTTGTAAAGCGAGAGAATTTTGAAACCCGCCGAGTGTGTGTGTGCGATGCGCAGTGCGCAAGTTACAAGAGCGGATGAATCGAAACTGCAGTTTCTGTTTTGGGGGATCCCCTAACTATCGATCGATAAGTCTTCGGTTTCCAACCGATATTCTCGTTTATCAGTTTAGTCCTGGGGCAAAATTTTTGAAGTAGACTCGGCCATGTAGGTCATTTTTTGCACATACCGTATCGGGGTGTTTAATAAAAATTATTTCTGCTGATTTTAAGATGATAGAAGATATTATATTGATCAGTTCCTTGCATAAATACACTATTGGAAATGGAGTCTGTAGACACTTCATATTCTCTCCAGTATTTGGGTTACAGTTTGATACATTCATATTTCACTGAATCAATGCTTCAATGGATTATTGGAGAAATAGAGCTCAGCAGAAGAGCTCACAATGTATCAATGATATTATCAATGCATGGTTTGGAACTAAAAAAGAGCTTTGTGTCAAGGATACCAAGTACATCTGATAAAAATGTTAACAGTCCTGATGCAACTACTGATGGAATGAATTTAGCTGAAAATTTAATTAAATTTGATGATCTTGGCAACTCACATAATGATAACATTGATGTTGTTGGCATGAATTATCCGATACCCCATGTTGTTGAAAGCATATTACATATAAAGTATAATGTTATATTGCATGCAAAAAAAATACAGCATAAACAATCTTCATATTTTGTTTTTTTGACTCGAGAGCACAAAGATCTGCCAATACAATGCCATGCATTTAGAGGTGAATTGAATCTACTGACCATCATCAGCCAAGACATTGAAAAAAGAATTAAACTAGAAGGAAAGAATGGAGTGACTTGTGTTTTTGACAACGCTAGTCATTCATCGAGCGGACATGAAATTAATGATAATGACTGTGTAAGATTTGAAGTTATGTTAATTGGAATTGTCAATCTAAAAAATCCAGATCCTCCTCACACTCTTATAGATGAAGCAGTCACTCAGTTTGATGAAAGATACAAAAAGCTTAAACAGCAAAGAAATGAACACACTAATGATGGTTATAAAACTAGTGTCACACAACATGTTTCAACACCTCCTGATTATATAGATTCAGGATCCCCACCTTCATCCTATATTGATGATTCAAGGGAGGGATCTATACATATGCTGCAACAAATGCGAAAGCGTTGTGGCTCTATGGATCATCATACGCAAAAACCAACAGGCATCCGTCGAAGACAAAGACATTGCAGTGAACCTAGCACTTATGGCAATGACTTGAAAAAAACTCGAATAAGACTTTTTCAAATTGGCCATAAATCTGTTAAAATGATCTGTCCAAATAAAACCGTCCAAAACTGTGAAATAGGCTTTTCAAATATATCTCGTTGTATGCAAGGCATAAAGCATCGTGATCATTTTGGAATTATTGCAAATAGTATCGAAAATAAGAAGCAAGGTCAAGATGACCAACACAATGCTAAACACACAAATAACATGAAAAAAATTATCTGTTATGTATTCAAATGTGCAGAAGATTACATTTGTGAAGAAATCATGCAGGGCATTCGACAAGCATTTACAACATGTTTTAACGAGACTTCACCCATGCAAGAATTTGATGAGCTCTGCAAGGATATCAATGCCGCATCACCACAAGATGCATTAACCTTGGCCAAGCAAAAAATGAGAGATTTAAACGAAAATGAAATTCAGTCTATCAAAGCACAAATTTTAGAGATAAATCCTAAGAACTCTGAAGATAAACTTGCTGCATTTATGGCTGCATTACGACAACTGTATGAAGTAAAACACGTTGAATATCTAACTGAAACTAAAGCGACTAAAGGTTCTCCTGTTCAAACTCATTCTGATGAGTCTGCAAGCAGCAAGTTTGACAACATTAAAAGTAAGGCAATGAGTTCATTCGGAAGTTTACTTCAAAAAGGAAAAAAGAAAATGCAAGAATTGCAGCTTGATTCAGATTTGATGTCGGACAAACTTGCCACAAGTCCAGTGAATAAGTTCAAAATGTTTTCTGAAAGTCTTTCTAGTTCTGTACCCACCACGCCACAGAAAAATTTCGCCCCACAAGGTTTGCCAAGTGGTTCCGATGAAGGCAGTCGTATTAGAAAACGATCAACATCATTAGGTTCCAGGCCTGCCAGTATGGAATTCTCTGCCAAGTCTTCTACGTCGCCATTGCTATTCTATCATAACATATTTTACAGCATCACAAATACTGGTCCTTGTGCAAAACCAGGTCATACACCAGCTGTGGGGTGTCATTTGGACAAACTAAAAACAATCAAGGAAAAACCATATAAACGTCACAAAACTGTTGAAGATATTCATAGAGCATGGAAATGGGCAATCAGTCAGCAGATATTGCTCAACAAAATAAATGCTATTATTGCTAAACCTGCCAATAATATGTTATCTGATTACAAATATAATTCTTCGAGTGAATTTTCTGATTTTGACCCAATTCCTGATGAAATGGAAGATATATGGACTGAGTTGTTTCGTTTGTCTGTTGAACAAAAAGAGAAAATTGAGAAGAGAGTTCTTTATGCAGCAGTTCGTAAAGGTGTTCTCAGCACGTATCGTGCCAGAGTTTGGAAATTATTGCGACTGCATTGTCATGTTGATGATGAAGATAATATGAGATCGAAGTCTAATATTGGAGAGTATCCCAAGCTGCTTGATAACCTGACTTCTTATCAACATGCTATTCTGATTGACATCGGGAGGACTTTTCCGTCTCATCCAATGTATAGCCAGCTACTTGGGCCTGGACAGCTCAGTCTTTTTAATGTCCTGAAAGCTTATTCTTTGTATGATGAAGAAGTTGGATATTGCCAAGGTTTGTCTTTTATTGCTGGTGTACTTCTCATGCATACATGCGTTGAGGATGAAGCATATCAATTATTGTACTGCCTTATGCACGAAATTGGTTGCCGTAACATGTATCTACCAGATATGACAGGCATGAAATTAGCCATGTATAAAATAACTAGACTGTTGTATGACATCGACTTGGAAATATTTCAATTTTTTGAACGACATGAGATTACAATGATGCTTGTAGCTACTCCGTGGTTTTTAACAATGTTTGCCTCAACGTTTCCTATGAACTTTGTTGCACGCGTTTTTGACATGGTATTTGTTGATGGGACACCTGCATTATTTAAAGTTGCGATTTGTTTGCTTCGAGAACATAAAAGCAAATTCATGCAACTTGATGATTTTGAAGATACTGTCAACTATATCAGAACAGAAATCCCAAAAAGTGATCGTAAAACTTTGTCAAATGTGATTGAGAATGCTATGGGAATGAATTTTGATTCAGAATTGAAGGAATATGAAGTGGAATATAGGATATTGCATGAAGAATTGCCAATCTATACTTACCACACAGAGACTGAGAAGAATCTTCGTGAGCAGATTCAATGCATTGAAAACGTGAATCATAAGGTAACGGAAAGTAATTGTGACTTGCTGAGACAACTTCACGATGCCCAGCGTAAAATTGCACTATTGCAGAAACAACTGAAAGAAGCTAATAAAAGTGGTAGGAATGGAAATTAGTTTGTTTCGTAATATTATATTGCAAATAATAGTGGATAATTTTGTAAATAACATTAGTCACTGCTTAAACTGCCCTAGTGTAAATATGTCAACCAATTTTATCTTACATTGTGTGTCTGGTACTTTTAGTTATACTCCAGTCCTTTAACTATCTTAATTTTTGTTCTTCAAGCAGTTTTTTAGTCATTCAGCAGCCAATGTTGAGTATGCTAACTCATTTAAAAGTTTTTTTTTATAATAATTAAAGAAGACAAGACATCTGAATAATCTCAAACTGGTTCCATAATAAACACTGTGCCATTGATAATATTTAGTTAGACACTTGTCATTATCCTATTGATTTTTCTTTATTTTATAATGGGTCCTACCAGTCTAGTCATTCATTGAACTACAGGACAACATAATCTTGGTGGATGACTATTTCATGTGAAATTTTGCGAGTTGTAATTTGTATCAAAGAAAATATACTACATACTATTTTCCAATATCCATCCATCAACACATTTACTTTTTGCATTCCACAAGGAGTGTTACTGTTAGGGAATGTTCAATAATTCGTAATCTCTAGAAATCAATAAATTTAGCTTTATGAATAATAAAACATAATTCCACTGTGGTTTCCAATATTTGGAATTGATGGTAATATATCACTTGAAATTGGTGTAACCTCAATTACATTTTTCAGATGTTTTTTCAAAGACAGTAGTCTTACTGCTTAGTACTTGTCACATAATGCTAATTTTTTATTGATATTTACTTATTATCATTGATGTATTCTGTTCTTAAATGCTTTTGCCCTTCTGTAGATGTGAAATGCACAATATTAGTGGCCAATTTTGTTGCATTGTAAGTATTAAAAGGTGCTATATACTTCTGTATTTGCTAATGTTCATTTTGTCGAATTTAATGTCTTGCATAAATTTTACGTAATTTCTCAACTGTTAATATTGAGAGTAACTAGTGTTGGAAGTAATTTTTTTTAAAAACCGAATCGAAAACTTTTTGCCTCAAATATTTGCACAAAATTTGTGGATATCGAATTCGAATTAAACGTTAGAAAACATTGTAATTTAATGGATTCTATATTACTTAATTAACTTCACATCAAGAAAATAGGTCAAAAATTTTAATTCCCTTATCTCTCAAACATTATTTTATTTACCAGTACACTTTTTTTGCAAAGTCAGTGGTCAAAGAGAGCATTTTGTAGTATCTCTAAATATTCTTCACAAAAATATTGAAATTTGAGCAAATCTTTTTTATTGATTTTCAGTTGTTTCATTATTAATGCTCACTACTCAAATGTGTTTTGGATGTAGGCTATATATATAACATAGGGAGATATAATTTGGCCATCCTTGCAGTTAACCTGGAGTATTTGCTATGATCTGCTACATTTAATAACGAAAATTCTTAGATAATAAACCAGTTTCAAACCATAATAATTTTATTCTTATTCTGTTACATTTTGTCACATTGCAAATTTGCTACTCCTTAGAATATACACAAACCCTCTTGTTTTTATTTGATGCAGTTTCTTTTATTTGTCCATGCTATGCCGTATAGTCTGATTTTTCCATCATGTTTTCATTTTTTTCATCATTGGTAAAAACACTACCCTAGATAGTTGTTTCTCCTCCTTTCATGTTTTATTCCTCTAATTTTGAATCAACCTATCTTTTTATTTGTTTTTGCTTTGTATTGGTACGCATTTGAGTTTAGTTTTTAATCGAAAGTTGCCAGTATGTGTTTTGCCAAATATAGGCTGTGATGTTGTTGATGTTAATAAATGATAGTTGAAAATACCTGCTCTTGTACAATTTATCCAATTTGAATGTTATTATTTTAGTAAATTTATCTGAGTATATTAGGCTGCCCTGGATTTTTCATATCATTATGTCCAAATATAACATAATTGAAAAGTACATAAAATTTTATACACTGAAATGCACGAGATATGGCATAGGTTTTGATTCAAAAGGTGTCTTAGTTATGGTACAGCAATTTTCCCTTTTACGGTTTTTCTGTTAGTTAAAACAAACGTGGATCTTGTCTCCATAAAATCACTCTCTGGATCCTTTAACAGATTTTATTGATTTCAATATCCATAGCTTGTGAAAACAATTTAGTTCCAATGGGTTGTTTTATTGTACAGTACTACTTGGTTTTATATGTTGATATAATTCTTATGCTAAATAGTGAAGCATTGCTTGTTACCATATTTTCTGTTTTGATAACACCATCACTGAAAAAGGCATGACAATAATTTATGGAAATATATTGCTTTTTCTCTAAACCTGATTAATGGGCATGTCCATATCCAAATAGTTTCGTGTTTTTAAATTTGGCTTTACAATATTATTTCAATGATTTCATTCTGTAGCAATATTATGAAATAGCCTGCATAAATTTCCTTCTGTAACAGTTCCACGCAACTTAAATTTATCATCATATATTCAAATAATTATCTAATTATAAACTAATTTTTATTGGTATTGGGTAATCCTAAATTGAATTTTGACAGGGATGTTTTATTATTTGTCTCCTTCAAACCAAAATTATTGTTTGTCATTTCATTAACAATCATGAAATGTGTATTTTATTGTATATTTTCTGTTTTCTGCAGTTCCTATATACTTGCTTTCTACTGTGTTAATCGTGAATCTGAATAGTAGATTCTTAATAAGCATAATATTGAATAAAGCAAGATGTAACAATAGATATTTCATACCACTGTTTGAATATGATTATTCATTTGAGTATTTCAAAAAGAAGTTTTTGGGAAAGACAACTGAACTTCCGTCTCAGGAATGACTTTTGTACTCGATCACTACCTTAAAACATAAAATTTAGCGCAGTTGTGATTGTTGTATGGTATTTTAGTCTTCAACTGGAAACGCTTCATGTAGTAAATCTGACCCCGGCTTAGCGATTTAAACATAGATCGACAATTAGTTAGTGGTAGGCCTATTTATAACTCCAACATTTATTGTGTCTAAACCAGGTTCAACATCAGAAAGCTGTGCATACGACCGAACCGTTGGCTAATGTTAAATTTGATCCCGTTTTTAGTTCCCCAGACAAACTCGCTTTGGGAATCACAGTTTCGCATATGCGCATCGCAGCTGTCACACTAATCAAATTAGGTATTGATTTCTTTTAATCTCCACAGTTTATGACTCAAGGATAATTCGGGAGATGAAGTGGACAACGCCGAGACGAGTCGTTCTAACATGTACCTCAGTGGCTCAGTGCAAATAATCGCGATTGATTGAGCTCCATGGACGGCGGGAGTGTGGTTTTCCTTACACTTGGCCATGTGCGAAATTTCGACAAAAGTCACCGCGGTCCGTTAGATAGGATAATTCGGATGATAATTAGTTTCTTACTCACGTTCGCCACTCATTGTCGATGAAATATTTATGATATAATCCGTCATCCCGTAGAGAATTTGATTTTCCAATCGATTACTGTACGCTTCTTCAAAAGTCGATTAACGATTGAATCCGTCGCAATGTTAAGTTTTCCTATAATTTCATTTTGAAATGGGATGTTACAAGAGGGCTGGGTGATTTTTCTACCTCCCTATTCGCGACTATTCAACATAACCATCTTCATGCTTTTTTACCTTGATCACTTCAAACCTTCAAAGAAATCTAAATTTTAGTCCAATCACACTCGCTATTCATTATTATTAAAAATTCCAGGCAGAAATTGAATAATTTTGTTCAAAGTTTTGATTTTAGCAACATAAAACCTGTTCGAATTGGCCACATTGAGTAGCACAACTTGAGGTAGCAAAAGCCGACGGACCGCGTTCCTGCAATGAATCAAATGATTTTGACTAATTATTAAGATACCGTGTTTCCCCGAAAATAAGACAGTGTCCTATTTAAATTTTCTTTCGAAAAATAACACTAGGGCTTATTTTCGGGGGATGTCTTATAATTTTATTTGTCAAAAACAAAATTAGAAAGTACAAAATTAGGAGATTTTCAAATATGAAAACCGATACTTTATTTACTTAAATGACACGTTTTCCTATCTCACACGTTTTAGAATAATCCTTCAAAACGTATGGGAGAGATTTCTTGCTATCCAGGTAAAAAAAAATTGCGTTATTGACTAGGTCTCATTTTAAGGGGAGGAGCTTATATCAAAATCATTCTTAAAATTCAGGCTAGGTCTTATTTTCGGGTAAAAACATGGTATCTCAAGATATAAGATAAGTGGTCACTGGTCACCCAAGATAGCAAATACATTCAGATTCAGATTCAGATTTTATTTTCGTCATGCAAAACCAATATACGATATGAAAAAATAAAAAAAGACATATAACAAATTACGAAGACAGATATCGGCTTGTTGCAATCAATGACATTAAACAACATGATAGGCAACTCTGACGTCACTCCATAAGACTACATGCGAAAGATTGTATTTCATGATACGCTCCAATGCACATATTTCTCGTCGCCTTTCGCGACCGTTTTCCGCTCGCTTTTGCTACCCGGCGTCTTCTTTACGTGTATTGCCTGCCTTTTTGCGCCTGTAACGAAAGAAAATAATCTCTATATCTAAGAAGTTTTGCTCACTTGGAAAGCTGGAATGGCAGACAAGCTGTAAAGAGTAATTCTGGACATCATAGACGTTTTTTTTTTATCAGAGAAGATTACAAACGCGATAGCGTAAAGATTTTTGTGGAACATTTTGCAGATAATGACAAAGTTCAAAGTTAGTAATATTAATGTTGGAAAACATTGAAATTTCATTTAAAGAGAGTGTCATACAAAACAGCAAAACTGTTTTTACTTCTCTTAACGGTGCTGTGATACAATTCCATAACACTAGTTTGCACCTATCGAACTTGCTTTAGTAGGTTAATTTATTAGACATAATTACATATTTAGTTAACCGTAGGTAACATTGCTGGTACATAATGCCTCGTAGATAGGTTTGTGTCTAAATGTAGGAATTTAGTTCATAGCCCACTAATTAATATCTTCTATGCGGGAGGTTGCAGGGCTGATTCAACTTGCAGCCTTACCGATCATCTGACGATGCTCATTTAGTTTGGCTCGAGTAAGTCTTCTTGAAAGGCTTGTATGAATGGAAACTACCTATATGTTTTGCCTTCCTCCGATTTTAGAAGACAAATTTATTCTGAGGGATTTGGCATATAATTCTCATTGAATGTTGGCTGTTTATGATTCCTATTAATTGTGAATTCTGATTATAACAAAGAGTTTTACGGGCACCTTTTTCTTGTCAATACTCCAAGCTGAGGTAATTAACAAGACAATACTGTACATTTATGTCTTCTGGAAGCAAAATATGCACACTAATTAAAAGTTTGACCGTAAATATATACTACTACGGTTTGACACATTGAGATAATACATCATGACAGAAAATACAAGTTAAAGATATGTATGACCATCACATGGTAATTAAAATTAAAAAAAAATTAATAGGGGCTGTGGAGTATGAAAAGTTCAAGACAAAGAATTGCTGAATTGGTTTACCTTTATGATAGCAACGATTTTGTATTTATGTAGCGAGATTTTTTTCAATTTAATTGAAGTGATATTATTTCCCAAAGCAATGCTTGAATTGTCTAGAATAGATCAGTGGTGTCAAACGCATGGGTTTTCGAGAGCCGCATTGCATTTTGGAAATTGTAAAAAGGGCCGAAAACACTTTTTGATAATGTATACTTGAAAGGTATGTTTTTCAGAAAGATTTAGTTTGTGACATATATTGTGATGCAACTAAACAGTTGATTAAGTTTTATTATTTTCTTTAATTTCAAATGCAATTACATATTAATATTTGCATTCCACTATTATTGTAAGTTACTGTATTTATTACAAAAAATCATCAAATTCTTTATACAACCATCAAAATCATTTTTGAACAAGCTTTGGATAAGGAAAGAATAATACATACACTAAAAATGACTTAATCTAAATATATGGACTTAAAATTAACAAAAATACTACAGTATAAACTCAATGTTTTTTTAATTACATTTGTCCTGACGTTTGGCATCTCTTTGTGTCACCAGCATACTAAGGCCAGGCTGAAATGATTTTATGGTACCAACTCTAACTAACGAGGTCACATGATCATGGGTTAATCTGGAACTTTGCGAATGTTTAATTAATTCCAGTAATGCAAAAAAGTTACTTTTATCATTTCATGAATAGATCAGTAGAAAAACAAATGACAGATATTTTCGACAAGACATTTCGCGCCACATTGCATAGCATAGGATTGCTTGAATTATTATTGATATTGATTTTTAGTAACTAAGTCGTTGTATATTTATATTAATATACAAACACATGGAAATTTTCTGTTCGAAGTTGGTCTTCAAAATTGTCGTATTGACTGCTGAGCTTAATGTGTTTTTCTTTGTACTGATGGAAATATGACAAATTAAACAATGTGCTTCAAAATTTTGTGAAATGCAGAAATATTGCATCTCCCATTTTCTTCGAAAATGCCACCTTCTTCATGTACTTTGCGTTTAATTTATTCACTCAAGTGTTTTATTCAAGTATTCTTTTGCTAGCTTGATGTGTATTCTTAATCGGGTCAAAATGTGAACAAAAAAAATTAATTTTCCAAAACTACTTTCGGTAAATTGCTTTCTGTGTGAATATTCAATTTCACTTTAAAAAGGTTGAAAAATCTATTACACTTAGATAAAAAAAAACTCCAAAATACTATTACAATTATTGTTAAGCGTTCGAGGGCCTCACTGGAAGTTCTCTGAGGCCGCGAGTTTGATATCCCTGGTCTAGATTGAAGTTGTCCAAAATATATAACAGTATTTTATCATGAATCATGATTATACCCTTTCCTGAATTTCTTCTTTAGTACTACCAAAAGTTGATGAATCAAATATAACACAGGTGTAGTGAGTGACCGACCCATAATCCTCATTTTCCAAAGCTGTTTTAAGTATGTCTGGCATGTTTTGTGCCTTTTTACAAAGAAGACCGCTTATGCAATCTTACGCTTCGGAATTTTTAGTTATTTTCCTCAAGCCCTGCGGGATGTAGGGGCCATACACAACTCTACCGGAGGTTCAAATGTCTTTGCATGCCTCCATAGGTTGTTCTTCTATTGCAAACATTTATGGAGTATTCTGATTGTATTTCTTGGAATCACACTGTCACTGATATGTCGCCAGACTTCTGAAATATCCCCTTCTGCTACAGTTGTCCTGTGAATAAATATTAGGAAATTGAGGTTGGACGAATAGTTAAAAGTTTTGCTTTATGTCGGCTTAATTTCTTGATTGATATACTTACTATTTTTGCTATTGCCTCTTGTGCTGTGGGAGTCCCACAATGCTTAGACAGGTTTTTCCAAAACTTTCACATCTGAAGAAAGAGAGGAGATTCAATAATTTTCGTTAAGAATAAATAAAGCAGTCTATATGATTTAGATTGGAAAAGCTAATAAATCCAATATCTCATGTTTTATGTAAAAAATGTTTTACTGAATTTGGTATATAAACCAACTAATGAAGGGGTTTAGACAGAAAATTACAAGCATCGGTGGCTCCAAATACTTGAGAGATCAGACTATACAATATAGACCGGTATGGGTGAAATGTTAGGTGAACTTGTTAACCCTTTGATTCAATACGCAAATAAAAGTGAATGAGCAATAGTATGTTACAGCAATGAGTATATATCCTCACTGATTAAAAAAAATCGAAATGGAGG